GAAATTGAGAGTAGTTCTTCTGATAGGCCTATCTTTAGCTTGGGGCTTATCACATAGCCCAGTTTTATAGATCGCCACGAAAGGATACACACTTTGAAACGTAGACACCCCAAGGTATTGCATGTGGAGTGCTTTGATGCAACTTTATTCTTTTTTTATAGCCAGACCAAAAATAAATAAATAAAATAAAACAGTTGAAGAACGCGTGTGGAGGTAACTGTTCAATCCTCATTTTCACACACACACACACACAAACACACTGCTTTTTGACTGTGACTTAGGAGAGCACGCTGTTGGTTATTGCAAGAACACACCCCAGGGGGTTTTCTGCAAGGCTTCTCCTTAGGACACCCATGCCCCCCACGCATAGGCTCGCCAGGATTTTGGGAAGGCATGGTTACAATTGTATGACTTTTCAGTTTGAGTTGAAATTGAGAGTAGTTCTTCTGATAGGCCTATCTTTAGCTTGGGGCTTATCACAGAGCCCAGTTTTATAGATCGCCACGAAAGGATACACTCTTTGAAACGTGGACACCCCAAGGTATTGCATGTGGAGTGCTTTGATGCAACCTTTTTTTCTTTTTTTTATAGCCAGACCAAAAATAAATAAATAAAATAAAACAGTTGAAGAACGCATGTGGAGGTAACTGTTCAATCCTCATTTTCACACACACACACACACACACAAACACACTGCTTTTTGACTGTGACTTAGGAGAGCACGCTGTTGGTTATTGCAAGAACACACCCCAGGGGGTTTTCTGCAAGGCTTCTCCTTAGGACACCCATGCCCCCCACGCATAGGCTCGCCAGGATTTTGGGAAGGTATGGTTACAATTGTATGACTTTTCAGTTTGAGTTGAAATTGAGAGTAGTTCTTCTGATAGGCCTATCTTTAGCTTGGGGCTTATCACAGAGCCCAGCTTTATAGATCGCCACGAAAGGATACACACTTTGAAACGTGGACACCCCAAGGTATTGCATGTGGAGTGCTTTGATGCAACCTTTTTTTCTTTTTTTATAGCCAGACCAAAAATAAATAAATAAAATAAAACAGTTGAAGAACGCGTGTGGAGGTAACTGTTCAATTCTCATTTTCACACACACACACAAACACACTGCTTTTTGACTGTGATTTAGGAGAGCACGCTGTTGGTTATTGCAAGAACACACCCCAGGGGGTTTTCTGCAAGGCTTCTCCTTAGGACACCCATGCCCCCCATGCACGGGGTAAATGTAAGAACCCCCCCCCCTAAAAAAAACAAAAAACCTCTGAACGGCAAATGTTAAAAAATAAATTAAAAATGGACCAGCGTGTGGTAGCGTTTGAAGCAGTCGCCAATGCAGAGTCCAGGCTGTCCAGGGCAATCAGGACAGTAATATACACTGTCTTTTCTCTGCCCCCTCTTAGAACAGACCCTGCATCTTTTTGGGGGATTCTGCTTTGTCGCAGTAGGGGGGATTTTAAAAATGAAATGTGTAGCCCCAACTCTGCTCTCTCCCATCACCGCCCGTGGAGCAGGTGCATCACGGTACAAAATCCCCGAAATGATCTGGAGCTGAAACTGTAAAAATCTCAGTTGCGTCCCGGGGTTTGCTTTTTTGAACAACAAGAAAGCGTTGTGGGTTGCAATCTGCATCAGGTAGATTGCAACCTTTTTGTACCAGGCGCTTGTCTTTCGTATAATTAGGTAGGGCTGCAGCAGCTGATCTGCCAGATCAACCCCACCCATGTGCCGGTTATAGGCCTTGATGCACACTGGCTTCCTTGTCCTCTCAGCTCTGCCACGTACAGGGACCTCCACAGTCCCCTCAGTGTGGATGCTGGTAAGAAGGTACACATCCTTCTTGTCTCTGTACTTAACTGCCAACAGCTCCTCTTGGCGCAGAGCTGAGGTCTCTCCCCTTTGTAGCCGGGTGCGTGCAAGTTGTCCTGGGAAACCTGTGCTGTTCTTTTTAATTGTGCCGCAAGCTACTGTATCAAAACAGTACAGTAGCTTGAACAAAGGGACACTTGTATAAAAATTGTCAGTATACAAGTGGTACCCTTTGTTCATGAGGGGGAAAATCAGGTCCCAGACAATCTTGCCACTTGTTCCCATATGTTCTGGGCAACCTGGAGGGTCAAGGTGGCTATCCTTTCCCTCGTACACCCGGAAGGCCTGAATATACCCATTCTCGCTATCACAGAGCTTATACATCTTTACACCATACCTAGAGCGCTGGAAGGAACATACTGCTTGAATCCCAGCCTTCCCTTATACTTCATCAGGGATTCATCCACGCATATATTCCTTCCAGGTGTATAAGCCTCTGCAAACCTGGCAGCGAAGTGGGTAATCAGGGGGCGGATTTTATACAGCCTGTCAAATTGGGGATGCTCCCTAGAGGGACACAGGCTGTTGTCGTTGAAGTGCATGAAATGCAGAATCATTTCATACCTCTTCCTCGACATACATTGGGAGTAAATGGGGGTAGAGCAGATGGGGCTACTGCTCCAGTAGGAGCGGATGGAGGGCTTCTTTATGATGCCTATCAGCATAGTCAATGCCCAGAATATTTTAAATTCTGGCACATCGATGGGGGCCCATTGCTGCTTTGCCAAAAAAGAGTCAGGATTTGTAGCTCTGAATTGATGGGCATATAAATTAGTTTGGGCGACAATGTTCCCCAATACATCATCGCCCAGAAACACCTCCATAAACTGCTGAGGGCTAAATCCTGTGACATCCAAATTAATGCCAGGATTTGGAGTAAAGGATGGGATGTCTGGCCTCTGGCGATGAGGCACTACCCACTCCTCAGCAGTTCTGCCAGCTGTAGCAGCACGTCTCCTTCGGGCAGGGGGACTAGCAGGCACAGATACAACATCACTAGATGCATCACTAGCAGCAGACACTGTATCTAATGATGCTGTATCGGAGCACCTGGCTGGGTCAAAATCAGGGTCAGAGTCTGACATAGACGCGTCAGACTCTAGCGCAAGTGTGGCATATGACTGCTCAGCGCTGGTTGACTTCCGTGACCCATGTGACATGATCACAATCGCTTTACTTAGTGACCTGTCACAAAAAAAAAAAAAAAATAAACCCTAAAAAAAAAATGAACAGACAGCAAAATAAGTGCTGCTGTGCAAGAGCCTGTGATCTGCAGAGTGATCACAGGCAGGACAGGGGTTAATCGTTCTGAAAAGAGCTTTTGGGTCTCAAAAAAAAAAAAAAATTCACAAAAATGAACCCCTAAAAAAGAAAAAAAATATGCACAAACAGCAGACAATTACTGCTGTGCAAAAGCCGGTGATTATAGTGATCACTGGCAAGACAGGGGTTAATGGCTCTGAAAAGAGCCTTTGGGTCTCAAGAGTTTACAAATCCCTACCTATAAACACCTAAAATCTCTCTAGCTAAACCACAGATCTCTCTCCTTCTCTCACTAAAGCACAAGTGAGGAGAGGGAGGCAGATCCACACTAATCAGAGAAATGGGGAACACACTTGGGATGAAATTGCTAATGGGGCAAGCTGTGATTGGATGACCCCAGCCTGCCCCTTATGATGCGGCATGCTAGGGACACCCCCAGAAGCCTCATGATTCACTGCCTTTAGAAAGGGATGGGGGTTAATATTGATCATTTTATTTCTTTTCTATTTAATTTTTTAATATATAGTATTATATATGCACTGAGTGCCAGGACCCCTCGAGGCACTCCGCACATGCAGAGCATCACTGCAATACTATCAGAGCTTCCAGAGCTCAAAATAGCTGCAGACGTACCAAGTACGTCCAAGGTCATTATGGAATGTTTTCT